GGATCATGAGTTAACACAAATTCTAGAAGTCCTCACCCCATGACTGCATGAGGCTTTGGGGGGACAACTAGACACAAACCATAACAATGCACTTTCTCCTAAAGTAAAAAAAAAAAAAAAATTAATCAACTTAGAAAGCTACGAAAATGGAGAAAATATAGAACAGATTTTGACCTGAAATCACTTGAACTACTTTTACTGATAGTACCGGATGTATTTGGAGCTGGAAACAAACTAGGAATTCCTCCAGTTCAAGTCTCTTCCTTTCCCCATGTAGGGAAGGAACTGAGCTCCAGAGCAGTGTGATGGTTTACCTGGTTACCCTGCACCCAGGAATGCTTCTGTATAATAGCCCCCAACTAGCTACCCAGCTACCTCTAGGGGCCACATTTGAGCCTTGACCTGTGTTTACCCAAATAGCATCACATCCCCTTGCCTTTGAGCTAATGGATAACCAAAGTTCATATGCAGGTCTTATCTTCTCAAATCTACAGAAATCTCTTCAATGTACCCTGAGGGCCATCCAGGACATACCGCTATCTCAGTTCGCCATAGAATGCTGAGAACTCAGCCTTAGGCCTGCTGGAAGGCTTATTAACTGTAAGGCTAAAAGGGAACCTTTTTGAACATGGTGTGTCACTCCTAATAGCCTCACATTGCTTGCAGGATTTTGATTTTCTGATGAAGCTGCCTGGTAGAATTTAAATAAGAGTTTGTTCAATAAAAACACAGATAGCTATCTCTTCCCACTTAATCTCCTATCCTCAGGCCATTTCCCCCCTATGGCTATCTAAAATTCATAAAAAACAAAACAAGCATAAATACAAAATAATAGAACCTCAGAGTCAAAAGAACTTCTCTGGATCAGTAAGGCCAGTGTTTTTCCAAAGCCATTTGTGGAACACAGTTGCAAGGAATATTAATTGATTTTATTTATACCAGGTGAAATGCAACTTCCCTGGTGTGTTTGTTTCTACACTTTGCAAGCACCAAGAGATAGATTTTTTTATTTTATGGGAAAATGGTAAAACAAAATTTGATAACAAAATCAGAGAAGAACAATAGTTAGCATATTATATGTTATCTTTAAAGTAGTTGTTCAGGGTACACGATATAGGCATAAAACTTCTTCAATGGATATTAGCACAAATAAGAGATAGATATTTCAAGGTACACTTCTAGAGTTTATCTGACCAAAAAACTTTTGGGGTCCCAGGAAAACCCCCTTGGAATTGCCATTCTGATCCACCCCCTTCTTATTCAGATGAGGGAGGGGAGGCTCAGGGAGGTCCCTGATGACACCTGAGCCAGCCTGGTGTGGGTTGGCAGGATGGGCAAAGGACTCATTTTTCATACATACTCAGCAGCAAGGTTGCCCAAGTCACTTCCTTTGACCAGCAGTTTACTCTGCAACCTCCCCATTCCTTCCTTTCCAACACAAAGCCATATGGAGTAGAGTTTAGTGCCTGGCACACAGTAAGTTCAGAGGTGGCAAGTGTCCAATTTGTTGATCTGATCTATTTCCAAGAAATCCTTAATTGCTATGCACAGCTCTGCAGATGGATTCCGTGACATTTAAACGGCCTGCCAGCAGCAAACATGATGACCCCAGGCCTGCTCTGAGGTACCCTCCCCCTCCCCTGTGCCTCTCATTGTGAATGTGGTAGAGGAGGGACCACAGTTAGGGACCTCTGGTAAGCACCAAGGGACAGAGTTCCAGCCACTGCCATGGGATTTGCTCCATGCTCATCTACTTCTTACTGTTGATTACAGGCAGTAACCGTTGATTAAAGGTAGTGCAATTACACTTAGTGTAATTAAATGATGCTAAATCCATTAAAAATAGCCCACGTTAGAGGTAGTAGATTAGTTTTATGGGTCTACATTGCCAGATTCAAGGAACAAACTGCCTCTGGTGTCCAAGTAATTGGATGCTGTTGCATTTCCAAGGTAACTTTGGTGATTATGGAACACATTCTCATGCCTTAATTAAAAATAAAAACTACCAAGCAGAAGGCACATTGCTTCTGGGTAGAGAGCCTTTCCAATAGGAGCCCACCCCCATGGACCTAAAAAATAAGCCAAGATCTCTTTGAGAGAGGCTATCAATAGAACCACTCACTGAAAGATGAGTTTCTTGATTTTACAGTTGTCGTGAAGCACCATGTTTCAGAAAACAAGGGCCACCAGTACGTGGAGGATGGACCAGATCAAAGGGTCAAGAGTTGGAAGGAAACAGCAATACTGAGAGCGGAACAGAGTAATGCTCATGGGTTGGCAGTTAACTTTGGTGTTGTGTTTTTGTTTTTTCTGGAAATATTAGATATTGAACCCAGGGTGCTCTACTACTGAGCTGTATCCCTGGATCTTTTTATTTTGTTTGTTTTGACATAAAACAATTTAGGGTCTCACTAAATTGCCAAAGCTGGCCTTGAACTTGCCACTTTCCTGCTTTAGCCTCCTTAACTTTTGGAGTTACAGGCATGAGTAGCTTTATCGCTCTGATCTTCAAAGAGAGGTTCTGCTTCCTGGACCTTTAGATTTCCTTTCCTTATATGACAAGATGGATATTCTCAAGGTCTACTCTGTCTCTAACATGAATGACAACAGTCAAGTCTTCAGTCTCCATGGGCTCTGAGCCAAAGCCTCTATATGCAGGGATGCACTGATCTTCCACCCACTTTGTTCAGAGGTGGGAATGGACACAGAGTGGAGAAGTAGCTTGCCCTATGTCTAGCATCTGAGAAGTGGCAAAAGTAGGATTTGAACCGTGGAAGCCTTGACTCAAAGACATCATTTTTCCTGTTCTCTAGATAGCTTCTACCTGCAGAGCCTCCTAAGATAGTCTAGACTGCAGGCCTTCCTGCAATTTCTGACCACAAGCAAAAGGTCTGCTGTACAATGTGGGCTTCAAACCTCGGCCTCTCAGGCCACCTCTTTATGCCCAGCCCCCTCTATCCCATGTTCCTTAGCTGTACCTTCATCCAGATACCATGCAAACCCCATATATGTGCCCATGTGTGGCAGGATTGTGATCACAAGTGTTGATCTTACAGTTTATTGGAGGAACACCAAAATCAACCAAACAATCACTAAGAAATAATTATTTTTCTTCACACCTGGGAATGTTGAGAGGCCAGGTACAGAGCATAAGAAGATCAGAGACAAGGCACTCAAGGCCCAAGACGGGCCTTTCCAAGAGCCACCAGGCTTGCCCACACTCAGCTGCAGGTACCAAGAGCTCCTTGGCTTGCTTCTCCTGCCTGACAATTAAGATACATTAATATTCCTGACTTCCTCACCCATGCTTACCCAAGCATCACCCATCATCTGCATCACCCAAGTCCTTGAGCACCCAATCAATCATCCAGTTGCCTACTTCTTGATGCCTGCTGAGTCCTGGACACTGCTGGTGACAAAAGGAGCAGACCCCGTCTCTCAGGGGTTGGGAGGTAGGGAGATTGAGGCAAAGCAAATAATTGTACAATAAATGTAAAGTAACTCTGCTAAGCTGGGGGTGGAAGCAAGACGCTGTAAAAATTTATGACAAGGGACTGCAGATGTAGCACATGCTCACCTGCTTGAGGCCCTGGGTTGGATCCCTAGCACACTTCCTCATGACAGGGATATGTGACATTGGGAAGAATGCTGAGAAGGGGAGAGGTATTGAATGGGATGAAAGCCAAAGGAATATCTGTCATCTTTCATAAACTAGGGGTTGGTCAATTCAAATATTCCTAATCTCTCCTGTCCCTGACACTAGCCAGAGTATGGCTTCCTCAAGAATCCATGGAATGTTTAATGGGTATCACGCTGGGAAGACAGAGACTCTATGCCTTTCTTGTTAGGGGAAACATCTCAGGGCCAACACTCCACAGGCTCTAGAGACCCAGAGTGGGGCAGGGTTTGGTCTGCAGTGGGGGCTCCAACAGGTCACAGGTCCTAGGCACATACCAGCTCCACCCACCCTCACACGTGCTCACACACAGCTAGGAACATCATAAACTGCTCCAGAGCACTTGGCCCTGCAGCTTCATGTCCCTTTCTTTCCCACTGGGTCCGTGTGGGTGCTCCAAAGCTCGCAGGAGGCTGTAGAGTCCCAATCATCAAACCTCAGGTCATGTTTTTTAAGGGAAAATATGTAGAGGTGGAAGGGAGACAGGTGATAAGCTCTGCTTGATTCTACCTAGGGCTTGGACCTTCCTCTCCCTAAAGACAGAGCCAGTCTGAACTTCTGATAACCTCTAACTTAGACAAACAACAGGATGTTAATAAATATCCACTCAGTGGAAAAGGCAGGATATACCAGTTTTAGCTTAGACCAACTCCACTAAATTCCAGAGAGGACACAGCAACTGCTGGGTGTCCCACTGCACTGGCACTTGTTGCATCAGCCACCCATTCATGTAGTCATCATCCATCCACCACATATTAGCTACTACAGTGGACACCAGGAAAAGAACTCATATCATGAGCCTTAATGTAACACCTGACAGTGTGCGTGACTTTCACACAAACGTCTAACTCCATATTCTGCCTCACACTGGCACAATCTAGGTGCTGTCACCACCTGTTGTGTTAAATTAGACTCTAAGCTCTTCTAAGGCAGTCACCAAGTAGAGTGCCCAATATGCTTTCATCTCCTTGCTGTAGGGTCGCAGTCTGGAACCCTGAAAGCACTCTGTAGCTTGACAAACCTGTTGTAGAATTCCATGAACCTCAGGGTACTTGGAAAAATCAATTCATTCAAAGGAGTTTATTGAATAGACACTACATTTCATGCCCTTGGTGACAGAAATTTGATGGCAGCTAACTTGAAATGGATTCTTTAAAAAAAATTATCAGTTAGTGAACAGAAACCATTATGGATAAGAATGAATAACCCAGGGCTGCCCTCTAAGTGCAGAGACACATTTCAGTCACATCAAACTGTAAGAAGGGAGCAAATCGTGTACGCTTTATCTCTGCCGCTGGGTTTCAACTTACTGATATGCTACAGG